TTACCATTCACCACGACTTTTGATTCATCTCCAAAGGTAACATGACCTTGAGTTTGTTCCACCTTCACGAACAAGCTCTTATCTCCCGTCATGTGGTTGCTAGCTCCGGTGTCTAAATACCATGTGCTCTTCTTTGTTTGTTCTTCATGATTTGCCATCAACAAGGTAAGTTCTACCTCATTATTCATCTCCATTAGATGGGCCTCTTCTTTCACATGATGAGGGTGCTTGCATTCATATGCATAGTGGCCATACTTATTGCAATTATGACACTTCAGTTGATACTTGTCGTACCTTTGTGGTTTGCTTCCTCTCCCACGGCCTCTAGATGCTTGTGTATATTGAGTTCTTTCTTCATTGTTGAATTTTGTATAACCACGACCTCGAACACCTCTTCCACGTGCACCACGTCCTCGATCATAACCACGACCTCGTTGGCCTCTTTCTTCACCTCTATTATCCCCTCTTTCTTTAAAAGAGAGTTTGGAGTAAAGGGAATGCTCCAATGATTCATCAGATTTATTTCTCACAACTCTTTCTTCATCGACTTGTAGTGAGCCCATAAGTTGATCAATGGTCATGGTCTCTAAATCCTTGGACTCTTCTATGGCCACCACAATATAATCATAGTCTTTGGTGAGAGAGCGAAGGATTTTCTCAATCACCGTTATGTCCTTTAGCTCCTCCCCATTTCTCTTCATCTCATTTACAATTCCCAACACTCTAGAGAAATAATCGGATATTGATTCCGAATATTTCATTTTAAGTTGTTCGAACTCACCTCTAAGATTTTGAAGACGAATTCTCTTCACCTTGTCGACTCCTTTGAAAGAATTATGAAGTATTTCCCATGCTTCTTTAGAAGTGGTGGCATTTGCAACCTTCTCGAACATGCCTCGTCTAAGCATTGATATATGAGAGTGAGAGCTTGTTGATCCTTCCTCCTACTCCTTTGGAGACTATCCCTTTGGGATTGATTTAAAGTAGCATCATCTTGAGGTTCCTCATAACCTTTCTCAACAATCTCCCATGCATCTTGAGATCCTAGCAAGGCTTTCATGCGAATGCACCAACTAGAGTAGTTATCTTTGGTGAGACGAGGAAATTGGAAGGGAAGTAAGCCGTTGGCATTCATCTTTCTTGAAAGGATTGATGGCTCTGATACCACTTTGTTGGAATAAAGGAGTTTATGAGTATTGTATTTAGGTGATTGTGTGTGGAAGAGAGAATTTTAGAGAGAGATGATTTTGGAAGAACTTGAAACTTTTATTGATTTGGAGCTTTTGCTTGTATTACAAATGAGTGAGGAGTGCTCTATTTATAGGTCTCTTAGGATCCTTCTAGGCACTCCTATGTCTTTAACATTCTACACTATTCCATAGGATTCTAGCTTAGGAATATTCTAGAATCATTTAATAAGTACATTAACTAAAGAGTATTCTAGACCTTTCTTTACTAACTCTAACTTATGGGCTAACTAATTTATTATTTCTCATACAACTACTAGCCCAATAAGTTAACTTCTAATGGACCCAATGATTGGGCTAAGCCAAGTTTAATTTCTAACATGATCTTGATATAATTTGGATATTTCATATTTTGCAAATGTGTTTTGTTACGTTGTTGCAGCTCTAAGTGTGTATGCATGTATACGCATGATAACGTAAGCTACCGTTAAGTTGCCTCTCATTTTCTTCAAGGTATAGTTACTTAAAAAGTTGATCTTCACTTTAATGCACCTTCTAGATGTCTACTTTATTTTGTAAATATGTGCTACTGAAGCATTTGCAGTAAACAAGTCAACGTTGAAACCTTATTACATTTTGTTTCTTTATGCAGACGTATTGAGTTTCTTTCTGCAGAGATCACAATTGTGATTGATCCTATGGATACCCGCACCGAACTGCCCCGGTCAAATTGGGGAAAACCGTATTGATTGGGTAATAGGTACGGTACGGGAAATACCTATCCGTCTTGTTTTTACGTGTGACGGGGCGGTTACGGTTTTATACATGCCCGCCACGTACCCGCTTCATTTATTTTTAGTTATATTGTTATTACATTTTTATCTATTATTTGTCCCATAACTAATAAAAGATGAGATTTTTCTATTTTCATTGTGTATATTGGACGGATCACTGAACGGATTATAACTGTATTGTGTACCCGCTTCATTGCGTATTATTTTTCTATTTTCATCTATTATTATAACTGTAACTGAACGGATCAGGTAACTGAAACTGGACCGTCTGGACGAGTCAGGTAACTGTAACTGAACGGGTCAGGTAACTGTAACTGGACGGGTTAAGTAACTGGACGGATCAGACAACTATAATTGGATGATTGGGTAACTGTAACTTGATAGGTCGGGTAACTGTAACTCAACGATCGGGGTAGTGTAACTGGATTGACGGATGTTGGTCACTGAACGGGTTGACATTCGTAACTAGGTAGAATTTTTGGTCACTAATGATTTTGGTCACTGACGGATTTTTGGATTTTTTGTCACAAATGATTTTTGGTCACTGGTGAATTTTGGTCACTATAATGTTATTGGTCACCGTGGCGTTACTGTAGTACTAATGGGTGAAATTCTATTAATATAAGGGTATAATAGTCCTCTAACCCATTTTTAGTCTCATTTTTGAAAAATAGAAAAAGGGTCCCTTTTTGCCCATAGCTCTTTTTTTAGTAATATTTTAGACATAACCCCTAATTGATTTAGTTGATTCTAGGAATTTTCATTTTTCAGGTTACTTATTTTATTATTTACTTTTAGTTCTTTAGCCTTTTTTATTGTTTCTGTTAGTCACTTAGTCCCCTAGGGCAGTAGGGCCTAGAGACCAAGGGTATCTTATTAATATATTTGATATATTGAAATTGTAATTTGTTATTTTGATTGATTAAAATACGGAGTATTGAATACCTATAGTCTTCTCTATGTGATTAAACATTTGTTTATGAACTTTAATTTATTTAGTATTATTTTCAAAAAAAAATGTAGGTTTTGTGATGATGGGAAAGCAAAAACATGAATCGAGATGTACAATGAGAGAACAAATTAAGAAATGATTACTCATAAAGTCATTTGCCGGCTCAGCTCAATGGATTGATGCATAAGTACAAAACCTTTTCCTTCAAATATTGTTGAGAATGAGGATACAAATCTCGTATTTGAGAATTGTGAGGATGTAAGACTGTAAGTGGTCATCATGACTCAAATGTAGGTGATACAAATGAGAATATATTCACATTGGTAATGAAAATGGCGATCTAAATTATGGTAATGCGAAGAAAAGTTTTTCGAAATAGAAGTTGAAAAAAGATTATCTCTAGTCAATCATGTCTGAAGATAGATTATCTGGTTTGGCCATGTTATTGATTGAAAAACATGTGAGCTACTCTTGATTGTAGTGATTTCTTATGGATTTTACTCTTCAAAAATCTAAAAGAATGGGTTATTAGAACATCGTTGTATTTTCTTTATCAATTTTGGACCTTTTTGCTTTCGAAGAATATACTCATTCGTTAATAGTATATGATGCATTTCATATGTGTTTTACTTCTATTTAATTGATTTATTTAATTATGTTGAATAAAACAAATTTAAACAAAATGACTATAGCCGTCTAGGGCCTCATAGTAGCTCTAGACAGCCCTGACCATGGTCTGTAAGTGGTATACCATACCAGTGAAGAAAGAAGAAAACGGATGGGAAATGGTAAAATGAAAAGAAAAAAAAAAGACGCACAGGGAGGAAGAGGGAGGAAGAAAAAAGGAAGAAAAGAAGGATTAAAAGAAAACAAAAAATATAGACTAGTAATAATGTGCCACGTGTCTGGGTGACCTGCTGAATGGGTTTATGCAGGTCACCGGATTGTTTTGAGAATACCTCTTTATAATTTAGTTTATTGTAGAATTACGTGTATTTGAGGTTAATGTTGGAAGATCACTGATAGTTGGGATTATTAATGTGAATTTTTTCAATTTGAAAATGTCACAATTATTGTAACATTCATTTCCTAGAAAGGAAAATGTAGCAATTAAAATAGAGAACATTGTATTAATAGGCTTATATGATTTTTGATTGGTTGAAAAAACTATATGGTCAACAATTATTTTTCCAAATAGCCAAGCATATTCATGAGTTAGTAAAACACAAGATGAGTTGATATACCAGAAGTGACTAATTTTTTTACTTTATACTACGTAAAATTTTTATAAACTCTTTTCCATGGAAAATTTATTTCTTTGGCATATCCTAAATTTCAAAATAAGGGAACCGCAGCTAGGCAACTACACCCTTATATTGTGAGGTACTTCTAAATTCTAATCTTCTGGGTGTTTGTATCTCAAGAATATTAAGATGCCAACTAAAATTAGCAAACAGACAACAAATTAGTAAAACTAGTCTTTTACCTGCGCCGCATTGGGTAACAAAGTACAAAATTATCTATAAATTGGTTGAGTTTGCCCGATCAATTTCATTAAATTAAAATCAACATTCGTGACTTTGTGTTATAATACACGATATCAACTAATTAGTTTATTATTTTTAACTATTTAACAACATAGTTATAGCAGGCCTACAAAAAATCAACTTGGGACATGTGTATTAGATTATTTCAAATATAAAGACATCAGTAAAGAACTTAATAAAAATGTTTATGAAAAAGCAACCAAAATAGATTATCGCAATGTACAATATCAATGTAATGCTCATTACATTACATTACATGATTGATTACATCATACCAAACATAGCCTAAGTAATAAAAACCACGGTAAATCAAGAACATCGTCTCTCGACGAAAAAAACATTTTTGTAGTAAATAACCTCCTACTAAAAAATGACATGGAATTAAAGAGTGAAGATATTGCCTTCAATCTCCACCTCAAACTAACATTCATCCCCAAAACAATATGGCTGTGTTTGGTATGCTCTAAGCAATGCAATGAAATAGAGTATGTAATGCCATAAAAAGTGTAATGTAACGGAATGAGATCAATATTTCATTACTATGTTTGGTTAGCGGCGGCGGAACACACGAGAAGAAGGAAATGTGCAGATTTGAAAGGGAAAAAAATCATCTTCCGGGAGAGGGAGTAGTTGGTTGCACACAAAAAAATACAAGAAAATGTAATCACAAATACATAACTTGCCTATTCCATATTTTAAAGTAATGGATTCCAAACATTGTATTTGAATCAACACGTAATGCTCATTACATTACATGATTGATTACATCATACCAAACATAGCCTATGAGTTTTCAACCTTGATAGATTTCTGCAGTTTGCAAGGAGTTTTGGGTAGAAGATCCTCCATTTCCTTCTGCATTATCTCACAAACATCCCTTCGAAATTGGGATAATAGTCGTGACGTCATCAATAGTCTGAAGCTCATTGGTAACATAAAAATTAGCTAAATATTTTAGTTAAAAATATCTAAATATGGTTATTATTAATCCAGAATGTCAATTTAAATTTTAGAAATTACATATCAATTAGAAATGGCAAAACAATGATATGTTTACAAATGTCAAAATGAAACATATACAATGTTTAAACTCAAGCTACGATTATTAAATTTTTTAAACATTACTCACATTTGATGAAGTCACTCTTGGCAAATTGGGAAAGAACTCAAATCATCATTAGAATCCAATTCCTAGAAATTAGACACGGAAACAATTGAAAAGGATATTACAACAATAATTTAAATATAAAGTTGGTTCATTTACATACCACTTGTGGTTCATGACATGATTATTTTGTGTGAGACAGCTCATAGAGAATACTTGTCACTTTTTTTAAAGTCTCCCTCGTTTATATCAACCCTAAACAAAAGATGTAGACTCACTAAATCATCAATTTCTTTTGACATGGTTGTCTCGAATGCCATTCCGAAAGATCAAAAAAAGTATTATAATACATATTTAACATATTTTTAGAGAATTACTTAAAACAACTCTTAGAGTCTTAGATATACCAGTTCCAATTGTTCTCTGAATTGTCCCCTGAAGAATCCCTTCACATTAAGAGCAATTTTATACAGATGTATTCCCTCATTGAACATTTCATTACATGTAGTACACTTGTACTTGTCCCCAAAATTAGATGGCTTTTTAGAGCAAGATTCTTTCTACACACCTTTGATAGGATCAAATTCTTCAATTGAGAATAGTTGTGATATTACCAAAAATCAAAGAAAATAATCAATTATTGCTAATTTAAAAAAGTAATCATCAATTATTACTTAAAGGTACTAAGGTAGATATATATATTCAAATGTTTAATATATGAAACTGATTTCTACAATATTTTAATTTTTTATCATCTACATATTCTAATACTTTTCCAACAATCTGTATAGAATAAGCATTATAGCCACACTACTATTTTGTGAATGCTACTTTAGTTCTACTCATCTATATTATTCAAATTGTGGGGAGAAGCAGCTTACCTATTACAGAAGTCTTCAATTTCAGGGATACTCTCATTCACTATCTCCATTGTACAACAGATGCAGTTTGCAAGAATAACTTCACCTATAATATTAAATGTCTTATTATGTCAATTATAAAGAATACATAAATAAGATTGCATCATCAATTTACATCAGTACTTTTCTCTACAATATTGGAGAAGCATGATGTGTAGCTCAACCGAAGTATTGGCTAGGAGTGGGCTCGGGTCGGGCCGCCCGGCCTAGAACCGGACCAGCCCAGTACTGTTTGGGCCCGGACCGGTACCCGGTCTTGGGGCCGGTTCGGGCCAACCGGAACCGCTCTAATCCCGGTGCGGGCTCGGGCCCCCTAAAATGCGAACCGGCCTGGTACCCGGTCTTGGGGCCGGTTCGGGCCAACCGGAACCGCTCTAATCCCGGTGCGGGCTCGGGCCCCCTAAAATGCAAACCGGCCCGGCTGGTCCGGGCCCGGTTCAGGCCTAATTTATTTATTTTTTGTTTTTTGAATTTTTTCTGTTTCTACCCGGGTTGGGCTGGGTGTTTTGGGGGGGTTTGGGGGGTTGGGGTGAAGGGGGGGTCGGGGTTATTTAGAAAATCAAAAGAAAATTAAAAAAAATAACATTGAACCGGAACCGCCGGCTACCCGGGCCGGTTCCAGTTCCACCATTCCTAGTATTAGCCAAATTGTTCAAAGCTTGTGCATACTCACCTCATAGTGTACACATTACTTTTTACTGGTGATAAAAAAATATGAAAACAAATGTCATATTCAACAACAAATGTAAAATCTTTTTTTATATCAATAAACATCTTTATTCTTTGGGTTCATTTACAAAATCGCTGCCAGTACCCCCAGAATCGGTGGGTGTAATACCATGCAGCAAAACAGTTGGGTTGTCAATATTAACACCTTCCACTTCACATTTGACAATTCCATCTGCATTGAAAGGCTTAAGGCTCTCCAATTTTATGCAAGAAACTTTTTCTGACATGGGAATTTTTTCTGAATGTGAAGACCAGACACTTTCCATCGGTACGTTCTTGATTTTCTGCTCTTGGAATTCAGCTTTGGGGGGTGAAATCGCACTTTCCACACAAATTCCTTGATCAAGGTACTCCGACTCCAAAGCTTTGTGGTCTGGTTGAAGCCCAGAAAATACCATATGGTCTTTATAATTTTCCAGTGTGGTTTGCATTGCAGGTCCGTCTTTTCCTTCAGTTGCATTACTGGAAGCAGAGCTTTCACTCTCCAGTAAGAGTTTGCCAGCAACAGCCGCCAACAATTCAAATGCACAGATTTGGTTATCTTCCTCACTTGGGGTCAAGGTTGTTAAAATCGTATTTTTGAATCGAATCAGTAAATGTTTTTGAAAATCGAATCGTAAAATCGAATCGCAAATCGTAAGATTTTATCAAACATATTTTAATAATTATAAAATAAATAAATATTAAAATTAAGTTGCAAGTTAATGGTATTATGTCATTTTATTACATACCACTATACCTACAAGGTCAAAAACAAGATTTATAAACTATTTTATATTGTAAATAGAGTGAATAATAACATTACACATATCTAAAACATAAAAATAATTAAATAACACAAGAATCCATTACTTTTTTAAATATACTATTGATGTTATTATTATTGAAATTTTGTATCAATTTGTAGTAGTTAATTTTAATACATTTGAACCATTTTCACTATAAAAAAAAACTTATACCGATTTTGCTACGATTTTGATACGATTTTATACGATTCTACACGATTTTTGTATGATTTTGTTACGATTTTGTACGATTTTATGATTTTACCTGCGATTTGAATCGATTTATTATTGTAGAATCATAAAATCGTACGATTTTACGATTTAAATCGAGATTTTAACAACCTTGCTTGGGGTATACCTCCTTCTAGATGATCTAGGTGCTCCAGGTACAACAGGAAACCGGTAACCATTCGATCCATACTCCAATCTCTTCTTCATCACCATTACAGAAACACCATAACACTATCAACCCAAGATGATCTACTACGATAAATCTTGTGAGAAGAAATTTATTAGTTTTCTTCCTGCACAGGCTGTTGGAATGAAGAATTAGAGCACAACCCAAACAAGAAATGCTTCAATTTTTCAAAAAAGAATTTCTTTTCGGCCTTGAAATGAAAATGGTTTATGAGTTTCCCACGTCAAATGAACTAAAAACCTCTGGGTTTGGAAAAACCAGCCAAAGGTGAAAAAACAGCGCTAAAACCCGTTTCTCTCTCCAAGATCTCTCTCTTCTCTTCCCACTCACATGCACCACAACTCGTGTAAAATCATAATGTTATTTAATAATTTAATCGTTACTTCTAACAGGTTGTTTTGATGGTGCTATACTCCAAATCTTCGAGTATGAATTCTGCTGGTCGCGACAATCCATTTGATGGCAAGGAATACTTGGTGTTGTCATAGTGAAACTTTTCAATTGTATCTGCAAAAACGGAAAAACTAAAACTTGAGTTCAGCGAGAATAAAGCATTTAAAAAAAGGATGTATTATTATGAATTATTACCAAATAAGTCATCTCCAAGTCTCTTACTCATATTTAGAATCTCGGTGAAACAATACAAATCCCTAGAAAAAATTGTCTCTAATGATCTTTGAGTTCTTAACAAAAATATAACACATCCAAAACTCAAAAATAACTGAAACATTTTTTTTACAATCAAAATAACTAAAACCTAAGTATGACACATAAGCTGCATATTACCAGCACAACTTTTAAATGGTCCAAATATAACTATGCTCCACAACAACATAGCCAACTCTTTTTTATTGTAAGCAACATACCCTACTTTTAAGTTGTATAAAGATATGTAAATAGCTTTCCATATTTTTCTAGAACACATACTTTCAAAGCATCACACCACCTATCTTGTTTTCTAGTTGAGATTATTTTATACCACCCAAAATATTTAAACTCCAAAGTTTGATATGAAAGAAGCACAAAACCTACTTAAAATGTATCATACGAAATTTGGAAAACAAAAGGTCAAAAAAATCACATAAAAAATTCATATTCTAATTGGAAAAAACCTTACCAAATAACTTGGAAAACAAAAAGTCAAAAAATCTCATAAGATATTTATATTCTAAATGGCAATAAACCTTACCAAATAATTTTAAATCGCTGTTAAATGTGATTTCAGACCCTTGTCCAGTAGGGTGAATAAGAAAATTTTATTACAGAAAGTCAAATATTGCTCAGATTTATCAAGTTCCTCTCCTAGAGATACAGATGAACCAACTTCTACTCCCCAATTTCACAAATTCATATTAATGGTTCACCATTCAAATATGTGTGGAACACCATTTTGCAAAGCCTATTTCACGTTCAATGGGTCTCTCCTTTTTTCTATTCCTTATTCAACTTCACAAATTATTACACTTTATTTGTCACGTTCAAGATATTATCTTCTTTCAGATGATATCTTTGTTTATTAATTCTTTGGCTTGATGAGCTTCACTTCTAACAATCCAACAGTCTCAACACGAAATCACCATTAGGATTAAAAAAGTCAAGCATTACAGGTTTTCAAATACTGTGTTATGGAATGGTATGGCATAGTCCCTACAGTGGAATTTTTGGTGAAGCAAAATGGAATGTTAAGCATATTTTATTAAACTTTGTTGAAAAAAGAAAGCAACATGCTGGTATGTAAGTTGCATATGATCAAAATGTGGTGGGAATTTTTACCAAAACAAATGTGGTGGGAACATTAAAAACTCAGAATACTTGCAATATGTAGAATACTTCCACCTGGTTGCGAACCTCATTTTTTAGAAAACTAAAACACGATGTTTAAAAAAGCACCAATTGCTAAGCTTTTTATGATCAGAGTTCAGCCTAGTATCTATCTCTACTTTGATCAATTTCTTTAAACCACTCTACTCTACAATGTCTATACCTTTACTTCTAAATGTAATCTAAATGCTCCTCAAATCATATACTACAATATATCCTATATTGTTTATGACTTACTGCTTATGTTTGTTCCAAATCACAACACATCCATGTTCCACATGTACCCCACATTTGACTACACTTAACCCACATGTACCCCACATTAAACTATTTCCAAACACACTTAAATAAAGAAAGCAGAAGTAAGCATATTAATCCTGAACTATGCACATATGCCCAGACAGATTAAGCAAATTAGATACATAAAGAAAGGCCCTAAGTTTCTCCTTAGTCACAGAGTCATTACATCATGCCCGAGTAAAATAACAATGAAAGAAAAAAAAGATTATAGTAAAACTCAATAAATGAGAAATTATGCAGTGTGCAGAAATAAGAACTACACTACATAATAAGGAATTAGTAAGAGTTGTACCTCCTCAATGATAACGATTTCAATCATATATGGTTCGGATGAATTTCCCGTGTTAGCAACAATCCATCTTCTTACTACTATCAGTATTAACATAGCCTTGTCATCCAACTGCGTGTTAATATTCATCAAAAAGACCTTGAAGGGAGCACTTGCACTCAATGGAGAATAAAGCATTTGTCCCCCACCGGAAAGCTATAAAAACAATTAAACACTAAATGAAGCATATGTTTGGCAGTACTCATGACTCATTCAAGTATAAAATACAAACTTCTAATAAAGAAAAAAAAAAAGATGAAACCAAACAGTTTTTTCCAAAAACAAATGAAACCAAACAGTCACGGATTCACTATACTACTGAGCTGAGCCTCCAAGAGACCCACTAACAGTCAAGGCTAGTTACCACGAACAAGAACCTCCCTTTTCTCTTGAACTTCACGAACTTTCTTCTCCATTTCCTTGTAATCTTCAAGAGCGAAATTGGGATAGCTTCCAGCTTTTTTCACTCATTCCTTCAACACTTTCTCTAGGTCGATGTTGCATAGCACAGCAAGTGTACATTTCAAGCTATTCCTTGACTTCATATGACATAGAGAAACGTCGTCTTGTTTCATCTCAAACACCTTTCCACCATTCAATGAAAAAACATACCACACCTTGCTTAACTTCCTAAAATTCTTGATCAAATTAGCAATGAACTCGGGAGTATCAAAACTAGCTTCATAATTGATTCGTCCAGAATCTTTCACCAAAGAAAATTCATCTTCATTATCATGCAAAGTTCTGCCTCCTTCAGCTTGCAGAAGATTCAATTCAAGAGGACAAGTAGATTGTTCAAAGGATTCGGCTGTACGCAACAAAGCTCTTTGGACTAGACACTCTATAGAGTAGTATCTAGCCGCTTCAGAGAGGTGGACGAATAAAACCTCACAAACACGAATATAAGTCTTTCTTCTTTTCGCATTCAAAACATCAATTGCATATATCATTGGTTTAGGGCCTAACCCTTCTCCATGGTTTAGTCGTGTACTTCCCAGTTTTACCCTTCAGTACTTTAAACTCTTGAATGATATACTCAGTCTTGTCAAACGAAAACCATTCATTTCTAGCATGAAAAGCAATCAAGTATAATGTCCCTCTTGAAACAAGAAATTTAGAAGATTTTTCATTTGGTGATACCACTTCCACCTCCACGAATGGATATCCTTCCACACATTTTAAATTTGGTATTCCATCAAAGACACTTCCACCATAGCAACCCATAAATCTTAACCAACCTAACAACTCCAAATATTTCGAACATCCACCACATTTGTCATTAATAAAGAATTTTCGTTTATAACTCAATGGCGTATGAGCATAATTAACAACCCTGAGAGAAGAAAATTTAGCAAATAATTGGTCACGTGAAAAAAACAACACAAAACCGAACACATGTATACACAAATATTTGCTTATGAGTATGCATGTGTTCAATTTTCTGTTGTTTTTTTCACGTAACCAATTATTTGGTTAATTTTCTTCTCTCATGATTGTTAATTACGTTCATATGTCATTGAGTTATAAACGAAAATTCTTTACTAATGACAAATGTGGTGGATGTTCGAAATATTTGGAGTTGTTAGGTTGGTTAAGATTTATGGGTTGCTATAGTGGAAGTGTCTTTTATGGAATACCGAATTTCAATTGTGTGGAAGAATATCCATTGGTGGAGGTGGAAGTGGTATCACGGTATCACCAAATGAAAAATCTTCATAATTTCTTGTTTCAAGAGGGACGTTATACTTGATTGCTTTTCATGCTATAAATGAATGGTTTTCGTTTGACAAGACTGGGTATATCATTCAAGGGTTTAAAGTACTGAAGGGTAAAACTAGGATGTACACCACTAAACCATGGAGAAGGGTTGGCCCTAAACCAATGATACATGCAATTGATGTTTTGAATGTGAAAAGAGGAAAGGCTTATATTCGTGCTTGTGAGGTTTTATTCGTCCACCTCTCTGAAGCGGCTAGATACTACTCTATAGAGTGTCTAGTCCAAAGAGCTTTGTTGCGTACAGCCGAATCCTTTGAACAATCTACTTGTCCTCTTGAATTGAATCTTCTGCAAGCTGAAGGAGGCAGAACTTTGCATGACAATGAAGATGTATTTTCTTTGGTGAAAGATTCCAGACGAATCAATTATGAAGCTAGTTTAGATACTCTCGAGTTCATTATTAATTTGATAAAGTATTTTAGGAAGCTGAGCAAGGTGCGGTATGTTTTTTCATTGAGTGGTGGAAAGGTGTTTAAGATGAAACAAGGTGACGTTTCTCTATGTCATATGAAGTCAAGGAATAGCTTGAAATGTACACTTGTTGTGTTATGCAACATCGACCTAGAGAAAGTGTTGAAGGAATGGGTGAAAAAAGATGGAAGCTATCCCAATTTCGCTCTTGAAGATTACAAGTAAATGGAGAAGAAAGTTCGTGAAGTTCAAGAGAAAAGGGAGGTTCTTGTCCGTGGTAACTAGCCTTGATTGTTAGTGGGTCTTTTGGAGGCTCAGCTCAGTAGTATAGTGAATCTGTGACTGTTTGGTTTTATTTGTTTTTTGAAAAAACTGTTTGGTTTCATCTTTTTTTCTTTATTAGAAGTTTGTATTTTATACTTGAATGGGTCAGTCATGGGTCACTCATGGGTCACTCGGTCATGAGTACTGATTGACTCTCGGAAAGGTCTTAGAATCTTAGATATATATATATTCTACGGAGTAATTGATTATCCTTGCTTTTGTTTTTGGCTGTTATAGCCATTCATTCAAACCGAGCTCCAAATTCACGGATTAAACAAATGAGAGCTATACATGGGGGAGTTCGAGCAGCAAGATAACCAGAAATTTGCTTCCAATAAATATTTACTACTTGAATTTTAATTCGAAGCTTTCGAGCCTCATTTTCCTTGAAATTAAGCGAGCACAGAGGTTTGTGTGTTGACTCTTTTATACACGTATTTATATCCTGACTTTGATTTGAAAGATAGCATGAAAGTAAGTTAACTTCATTCATATGACACCAGGAGGTAGGAGGATGTCTCCCAAATTGAAAATAATGACACAAAAATCAAATTTTGGGCCTGAAGTGTAAGGAGGAAAAGGAAACAAGGATAGTAGTAGTAATAATAATAATAATATAAATAATAATAATAATATAAATAATAATAATAATATAAATAATAATAATAATATTAATAATAATAATGATAATGATAATAATAATAGTAATCACTAACTAGTCTAATTTATTTATTAAATGATAGTACTAAAAAACAAGGCTACAATGGAAAAATTGTACAAATTGTAAGAATTAATTAGTCTCTCTTTTGAATAATAAGATTGTGAAATATACTGAAGTTCTCCATAATGCATTAATAATCTAATTGTTTTAAATGTGCACAAAAAATAACAATAATAATAAGCCATAGTAATAACAAGTAAAAAATGAATAAGAAGAGTTGTGCCAGAAACATAAATAGAGTAATAACACTCATCTACAACAAAAAGAATATAGTGAGGTCGTTGTACCATACTCACACATCAGTGAGTAGATTAATATTTCTTCAAACAGGGGAGACTGAATGAATTAAGGCCCTTTCCACGCAGTGATGAAAGTTTAAAGGAGAAAAACCAAAATAAATGGCAAACTCAATGAATTAGATTAAGATGTCTGACGAATCCAACCCTAGCTTTGGTTAATGATAAATAGCATAAAAATTAAAGACTATTATTAATAAGAGAGTAATACTTTTTAAGAGTCTAATACCCTAACTGACCGAAACATCTTAATATCCTAACTGACTGAAACATCTTAAATAAGAAGTATGATGATTACAAGATCTTATAAATAAATAAGTTTAGTAAACATGACCTTTGCACATGAGGCTTTTCAAATAGCTCATGTGCTGTCCGTGGGAGTTAAGTTTTTGTTAAGTATTCACATCAAATGAAAACTTGATAGAGAGAACAAACAAAAACAGCTTTTGTCCTAAGCTTAATTAGGAACTAAACAATGTTGGAGATTAGATTATAAGAATCACTAATGGAAAACTGATATATATATATATAGGGATTAGTTCAAGTAAAAAGTAGTCTTACCATGAAAAGTGAGAACAAATCTTGACCTTCCATCACTTGAAAATGGATGGATTAGATGAACTTTAAACACAAGAGATGATTTCAAAAAATGTGCAAACGTTTATACTTTATACTATAAAGTGGATAGTTACTGATTAAAAGTGCACCCATGCGAGTCAAAAAAGATTGTCAAAATTTTTCAGATTGTGCACTTTCTATTTTGTACCGCACTTTTGTGCTCTACGTGTGCACTTTTTTACTATTCTGATGCACATTTGTCACAATATTTTCAAAAAAAGTTCTCCAGAATTACAAAAACGCCACCGCGTTTCCAACTTAAAAATTGATCTCTTCCACCCATTTTATCACATCAATGACCAAGATTAGTTCTTAGTTTTCACCTAGGAAGTACTTTTTATTTGAACCAAATTCTATATATATATATATATATATATATATACTCCCCCTCCGTATTCTAACGTTTGCTACACTTTCCCTTTTGGGATGCATTTAAAAGTTTGTTACATTTTCTCTCCTACTTTTTCTACAATTCATTACCCCTACTATTTCCTTCTAAAATATTGCGCCAAAGCCTAATGTAGTGATCTTTACAATACAGAGGGAGTATATACTATCGTATATACTAGCATGGCAGCGCGCGCAATCCGTGCCCAACGCTGGAAAACAAGCAACAAAGTTGTGCAAAACTAATTAAAATCAAAACAGAAAAGAGTAGTTCAATCATGACACTTACACCATTCAGCATCCCGAAATGTTAACAAAATAGGAAAATTGCAGTTACATCAACAATAGAAGCAGTTCAAGAAACAAGAGATGATAAAATTTGTATTTTTAAATGACTAGAAATACCCCCCCCCCCCTGAACAAAAAACATGAAGCATAAAATGAATTTGTACAAACAAGTTAGCAGCTATCACTACACTACAAATCACTACACAGAAATGATTCACTAAACATTAAAAAGTAGATGTTTATGGTGCTTCCCATAAAAGACGCTAAACCTGATGGTAGTGGGCTTAGCCAATTTATATACTCCGTATAAAGTTTAAGACTCATGATGCATACTCATTTTCACTTCAAACAAATATTCCATGCAAACAAGGAATATAAAGAAATATATTCTATATACCTGTAATTATCAGGGTTCATAGACAGTAACATCTTATGCAATCTTTTCACTTCTTCAAAATGGCAAAGCTTTAAAAGAAGATGGCCATCTTGCTCCTTGTATCCCAGCTTATCAACCTAAGGAGCATTTATTGCACTCAAACCATTCCAAGGCTCAAATATCTAAACGTCTTACCAATTTTCAAATTTCTAGTTGTGTGCATCCAGATAATTATGTAATTGCAACTTAGGGGAAAAACATCTACCAACCCAAAGTCTCATTGTCAAGGGTAAAGCAGCTATTTTCCTAGTTGTGTGCAGCCGAATAATTATGTAATCGAAACTTAGGAAAAAAAACATCTACCGACCCAGAGTCTTACTGTCAAGGGTAAAGCAGCATTTCCCCATGCTCGCAACATTCATTTCCTGGGAATAATTATCATCTAGAGTCCCTTCATACGCGTCAAGGATAATTATCATCTAGTGTGGATCACCATAAACTCGACAATCAACAACCTGTGTAAAAGGACAGTCAAATAATTAAGATACCACATTAGGGAAAATGCTACTTAAAAAATATAGAAGAAATATAGAGATAACTTAGAAGGAAAGTAAATGTGAGAGAAAATAAAACATTGGTTCAAATTAATAAACAAATTTTGATGTTTTTCAAGATCTATGATTTTTCTATTTTTTATTCCATATAGATTAAGAAATGTAAATATGTTTAAAAATTTAAAATCATTAATCATTGCCCAACTTCCTTTTCATTTTCCATTATTAAACCATACACAAGAAAATGAGTTGTAGTGGTATTTTTTCTCTCCCTACCACTTTTAGAGATCTAAACAAACCCCAAGGGTCAGTTTGAACTCGGAAAATGTCAAGAAGAGAAAAAACAATGGGGGAATAGAACATCAGTTCAAGAGCAATAAATTTATCAGGAATATTTGGAACAGAGGAAATTCATCAGTTCAAGATATTCTATCTGAACATAAACATACTGAAAGGGAAGGATTGGAACAGAGGAAATGCTAGGGAAAGAAAATCAGGAGGAAGGTATAGGAGAAATCTGGACGGAAAGAAAATGTAAACAAAATACAATTTCAGTTCAAACTCAATAAACTTATACGTAGTAATGTAGTATTATATATTTGTCGAAACTATTTCTTATTTATTTATATATTTTAATTATGTAAATGCTAATTATTCTAAACATCAGTTAAAAAATCAAAACATTAATGATAGGCTATTTATTTCCCTTTCCTCTTCTAAGCTAAAACAAAGCATGAGTAAATAACTCTAGTAGATTTTATTTCCTTTCCATGGCAATGTCCGAATTTCCAGGTAAGAAATAAATCCTTAGTGAAAACAATCAGAAAAAGCAAATGAGACAATAAATGGCTTCAGTAAGAATACATTTTAAGTAGACCTTAAATATATAAGGTATATGAACAGGTGTGCGTTGACAAGAGGTGATGGTCATAAGATTAAACAGGTGATGAAACTATATATAATATATAAGGCTTCTAACCTTGGATATATGAACACTAAGGTTGCGATGTCCGCCTGAGCATTCAATACAGACAAGAACACCAAGGTTCAAGGATGCCCAATCGAGTTCAGTAGTACCACAATCAGCACATTTGTCATTCCCGCATACTTTCAGTAAATGTCTCTATTGGTTGTTCAGCTCTCAAATGAGCAATCAAATGAGCTGCTGTCACTTGCAGATCTATGATGAGCGCCACCACCCATTAGACCAGCAGAAAAACGATGCAAACAATACCAAAAAGACTGTAAATATGCAGAGTGAGTTTATGGCTAATGTTATACGGTAGAATATCCTGTGTAGCTAGCAAAGAAAAAATAACACCAGTAATCTTTTCAATCCATTCCATTTGATCTAGGGCGCTCTTAGCCTGCACCCAAGCGGAGAAAAAGTTTAATTTCCAATCCCGCACAGACCAACAACATGGCAACACAACAATAATTCACCTGCAATGTGTAGCTTTTTGTTGGCGAGATAATTCTGAAGAAAAACCGTAGATCCGACTGGTCAGCATCAACCTTTATAGTTGATGTTAAAAGATTTACAGTGTGATGGAAATGGCTTGGGTAAACTTGAGAGGTGACTGGAAAGGGCGCTTTTTTCAGAGTTGAAGCTAGCTAGGTACGTCCTAAAACTGATCTATTTTTATGAAGAGAAGAAGCGTGATCAAAACAAGAATGAGATGCCAAAATGTGATTGGGAGTGCAAGAAACGTTCCTAAAACTAGGTACTGTGGGATGGGGTGGTGGTGCCATGTTGTGGTCCACTCTTTCCAACTAAGTCTAATTAAAACCACCCTACACTTAAAGCCATCTACCTGTTACGTTCCTTCTCTGGGCATTTGGATGGGACCACTCGTTACGCTTGATGACTAATCACCCAGCTGATAGATCAGATTGGTTTGGACTTTGGATATGTAAAAATAAGATAACATCGTGATTTTGCTAAGCCACTAATAAGCTAAGATGGCATGAACTCTAACCAAGTACGATGCATAATTATCAAACTTGGAGTTGCTAAAAGACAACAAAGCGCAAACATGATTCATGTAGGGCTCCATTTGATGCAAAAGGTGTTAGAATGATAATAAGAACTGAAATGGAATCATCTTATTGATATCAGAGAAGAGTACAAGTATTTATAGTCATCAAGACTGTAACTAACTCATAACAAACGCAAACAACTATAACAAGCTATCCGGTTCTAATCTGCTATAACAAAACTTATTACAAATCTGACATGTACAATATTCCTAACATTCCCCCCTCAAAGTTAGGGTGATTGATTTGAACATTCAATCACACTAAGTTTGGTTCTCAAATCAAGAAAAGAAGTAGATGATAATGGCTTGGTGGGAACATCAGCTACTTGATGATGAGCTGGAACATGATAAACTGCAAGTTGCTTGGACTGAACCTTTTCTCTGCAAGTTGTTAGGAATATTGATGATTCCATATCTGATTTGGGTAGTTAGGGTAGACAGTTTGTTGAGGAAAATTAGTTGGGTAAGAGGGGTGAGATGGATGAATAATTGGCTGATTGGAATAGGTATTGGCTGATTGGAATAGGTATTGGCAGATTGAGAGGATGAAGATTATTGATTCCAGGTGTTGGGAGGTGCAGAATTAGGAATAGAGTAGTTTGGATTAGGAGCAGCGTATGCAGGATTGTATCTGTGATAACAGTTTAAGGCATTGTGATTTGATTTCCCACAAACTTGACAGGTGACAGTACTCCGACCTCCATAGCGGCCACCACGTCCTCTAGTGAAACCTCCACGGCCTCGTCCCCTGTAGGAAGGATTGGAGGACTGATTTTGAAACTGAGCAACGTTTGTTGAAGAATTTTCTGCAAGTGTGGAATGAACAGCTTCAGAATTAGATGGCTGAACCTCCGCACGAGCTAAATTGGCAGAAAATAAAGTCTGTTGAGATGATTCACGTAGTTTCTTCTGCCGTAACTCTTTTGCAAGCAATAGAGACTCGAGCTCTGAAATAGTAACCGGGTCCAGGATACTTCGAGATGAAATAGAAGAGACAGGTGATTCATACTCTTCTGGAAGTCCTTCTAGGATGACGTTAACATGATCCTTCGTAGAGATAGGTTCACCGATATTCATCAGATTATCAACGATGTGCTGGCTTCGGAGCAGATACTCCGTGATCGATTGATCACCCTTTCCGGTTGAGTATAGCTCAGATTTTAGCTGCCTAGCTCTGGCGACAATGTTTGCTTGAAAGAATTTATCGATTTCGTTCCAGAGTTGGTACGAATGTTGGCAATGAATCACTCGAGTGTGTAGGGTTTCAGAGAGCGACGCTAACAGCCACGAGAACAGCATCTAAACAGCATCTGATCTTGCTGCTCCCAAGTTACATAGGCATCGTTCTCAATCTTCGTATCTGCTTCATCACCAGCTATGAATTTTTCAGGAATTTCAGGTTTTTCAATAAATCTGAGCAATTTGTGAGCACGGATTGCAGATCGAACATGATGTTTCCATAGAAGAAAATTGTTAGAATCGAGTTTAATTAGAAGTGGATGATTGAAGGTAACTATAGCGGAAGTATTTCCAGGAGTTTGAGAAGAAACGGAAGTTGAGCTTGAGATCGTCATGGAGGAACGAGCTTACAGCTCTGATACCATGTTAGAAAGATAATAAGAACTGAAATGGAATCATCTTATTGATATCAGAGAAGAGTACAAGTATTTATAGTCATCAAGACTGTAACTAACTCATAACAAACGCAAACAACTATAGCAAGCTATCTGGTTCTAATCTGCTATAACAAGACTTATTACAAATCTGACATGTACAATATTCCTAACAAAAGGTCATACCCCTATGTGTATAAATGGCAGTAAGTGAGATCTCAGAAACAATGTCAGTGGCCAAAAGATGAAAAGAGATAGCATAATTAGGGCAATACCAAATAAACAATCTTAGCAAACAATATGATGAATAATGCTGCAAATGGACCGCCTTAGAACCCTAATTTGAGAAAGTATTGACTGAGCTTTCAAATCATAGACATGACTGAAATTTCTCTCAGAATTCAACCGCAGTTTCCAAATTCAGATAACCACCCAGCTCAGACATCCAAAAACTCAATACAGAATTGTAAACAGATCGAGAATATTCTTGAAGCTCACCAACCCATGGAAGGGACCACGAGAATCCAAAACCCAAACACCAAAAAGGGAATTTTTGCTGCCCAATATGCTACTGGAGCGAGAAGTAAGTCCTGAAAGTAGTGAATCTGCACTAAGTTCTTGTAACAGTGTGAATGAGAGAAACAAACCTGGAACAAAGGCAGCTAAGTCGTGACGTGACGGTTACAAGCCGGATTCATAGCGTCGAGGCCGGAAGAGTGTTGCCGAAAAATTTCGCCGCCGCGAACCACCTAGCGGACTTCCCGTCGGCGTTATCGGCGTCAGTGCTCGACCAGGCCAGTATAAACTTGTCGGCTTGGCTGGAGATGAGCCCTAGCCCTGAATTTCAGCAATTTGGAAAAAGAATCTGGAGAGCATCCTCACTCACTGCATTGGGGGAGAGCGGCAAACGGCCTTATATAATATAGGGAAAACCGTCAAATTGGCTTTATTTTCTTTTTTCTTCCCATCATTTCTTTTCTTCCTTCATCCTGCGGAACCAGCCCTCCCCCTCTGTTCTTCTTCAGCGCACCCCACCCCCTCCTTCTTCTTAAGCCCACCTCTCTTTTTTCTTCTCTTCTTCAGCCCGCCCCAGCCCCTCCCTTTCCCTTCGTTCTTCTTCTTAAGCCCACCCCCTGCCTTCTTCTTCTCCCACCGGCCACACCCCCACCTCACCCCGGCCTCGTATTTCATAGCCATTCAGAGTATAAAGACTGAACTCATTCATTTACTCTATTGTTCCTGCCCATTATATAAAAAACTAAAGTCATCCTATAAATATCAAATCTTTTGGAGAGGCATTTCTAAATTCAAAAAGAGGAATATGAAATTTGTGTCAGATCAAAAGGGGGTTGAAGAAGAACAAGGGATGGAGTGTGTGGGTTTGAGAAGAAAAAGAAAGGGGGGAGGGACGGACTGAAGAAGAAGAAGAAGTAAGAAGGGGGGAGGGGGCGGGGCGGGGCGGGGCGGGCTGCGGAATAAGTAGGGGGTAAATGAGTCAAGCGGCTAGCGAGCTGCTCTTGGAGGGTTCGAGAAAAGCTCTACTCAAGCTCGACTCGAGTTCGGCTCGACTCGAATCTTCTATTATACAAAAGGAAGATGAAAATTGAACAGTATTCCCGCCCAAACAATGTACAGTAACGGGCCGGGTCGAGGTTACAATGGGTGCAGTAACGGGTCAGGTAAGAATGGGTCTGCAGGCTACTTTAATGTTGGTTTCAAAGTCTGCTTATTGAGACTTGAGAGCATTTAATGTCTTTTACTGTTGATCGGATGTTTCTGAGCGGATGCTTTCTCCAAGAACTTGAACTTCGAATTGATTGAGCATGCGTTGTCCTTTTTATTTATTTTTTATAACAAAGTACACAGAACAATAATTGTAACGTACAACTGATTTGAAGTTGGCCGAAAAAATCTTTATCTTGGATTTGAGAATGCGAATTCAGTACAAATTAAAAACACCAATTATAAATAATGTTACTTTACTCTCATCAGCCTGTTGTCCTCTCAGATTTTCATTAATTGGTAATCAAACAACGCATGCTACTCCGTATTGACTATTGGCTAATAACTATTGGTTAAATTGCTCCCAGTGTAACAATACCTCAATTATTCTACTATAAATACATCCTATATTCAGCAAGTTTAGCACACCAATTCATCTCGAAACAACTTCGCAAATGTGGATAAGATTTTATCAAAGATGTGGATCAGATTTCAATTCAGCACCACGGGTTCATCAAGTTCACAAGAAAATGAAATGTCTGCTTTCATCACAGATGTAAACCAATCCAACTATATGTGCATTGAGGACGAGGATAAAAAAAACCCTGAAGTAAGAACCCATTCAACTGGAGGAGGGCAGATGCTAGAGTTCATCATCTATCATCAACAGGTATCTCTATGACAAATACACAACAATATTTGGATTTAAAAACTATAACAAAACAAAATGCTTTTCAAGATATATCAACATCAGTGAATCGGTCAATTTTTTGAAATAAATGTATGTAAATAAAACAATTACAACCATTATATAAAGAAATGTTTTTAGAAAGTAATTCTTCACTTAATGTAAAAAAAATATGTTTTATGTAAAAATCAGAAATATGCTGAAACATCCATAAAAAAACTATGAGTACACCATGTAATGATTAAGAACTCATACACCAGGATGCATTAAGTATGGAATTTTTTAAAGCTAATTCCAAAATAAGCTCTAGAGAGAGTTCATAGCTCACATTAAAGCTATAAGAGAAAGCATATTTGAAATTGGCTTGAATCATGTATATTGACCAGCTACTTACCAAAGTTCACTAACCAACTTTGTAATCTTCACGATATATACAAACTTTAAATACAGAAAAGAAGTCATGTTAAGCAACAATCATTAAGTATTTTAAAAAGGCTAATATGAAATGGATTTAAGATAACACTATAAGTAATATGAACTTGAAATACAGAAAACCAAAAATGGGGAATGTTTATAGCTACAAAAACTAAATTGGCAATATTTTAAGCTCAAATTATATTGGCTCTATATTGACAGCCATGTGAAGTACTACGATTTTCCAAGACATATTAATAGGCCCAAATAACGTGATTATTAACAAAAATGTTACTACTAATAGTTTTTTTTAACAAACGAGTATTTATAAAGACATGCATTGGGATACCATAGGATTATGTGAACTACTATACCAAAACTGCTTTTACATAAAATAATTTATTGGATCTTCAGAATCCTGATGAAAAATATGTGATTACAAGCGAGTCTATGTGTTCTGTTTTAGAATCATGATGCTAATTAAGTGATCACAAACAGATTATGTTTAAAGACTACATGTTAAAAATATGCATTCATGTTTCAAAGTACATTCACAATGTGTTTAATAATTCAGAGCAATGCTTTCAAAGTAGTCAATAAATTTAACCAGTTTAAAGCAAAATCATTTAACAGAAGTCCAAGTTCATGAGTAACAAAATTGAGTATCAAAAGGCTTTTCAATTGACATAGTACAGTTTAAATAACCATAGTAGCTGTAGTAAATCGTGCAAGTACTTTGGTAAACCAACTGTGATAAAAACAGAGTGTTTAAAAAAATAATTTAAATTTGGCGTAAAGATTTGATATATCCTCAATCCTTATTTTTATGAAAGCTTTCAAAATTGGAATAAAATATATTGAGTGAGTTTATATAACCTCAATCCTTATTTTTGTAAAACGTGGTACAGAGAAAACTACAAGTACAAAAAGATCTGATAAAAACATATAAACATCTGATATATCAACAGATCCATGCTGCAGAAAGATAGATCCGGAAAATTTTGATTGACTTTTAAATAATAAATCATATAAACATGATAACCTTTTTAACATATTTGCTTGAGCTTTTTTCAAAAAATATGATTTAAGTACAAATAATTCACATATGGATTTTATATCAAATGAAAAACCATTTCGAAAAAAACCAAGGCCGTATAGAGTTTAAATTCAAAACATATACCCAAAATAGAGTTCGAAGTATACCCATTTTTCGTTGGTAAGGTCAGCATCGCTGCATCGGAGTAAGGATGAGATCATCGCGGCACCGGATTTAGAATGAGGGCATCGCTGCGGCGGAGTCACCGTTAGCTCTCTGGTGGGGAAGTATGGATGGTGTACGAAGCTTGAAGGCTAGCAGAATGGTGGTGGGCGGATTTAGGGTTGAAGAAGATAGGTGTATAGCATCGGATTAACCGATGTCTCTCTCTGCCTGGACGAAGGTCGTGTACGGAAAATGGGCGGTGTATACCTTAAGGAGCTTATATCTGGAGGAGTATTAGGGTTTTGTACATGGGCGGCATACTTTGATTTTTTTACGGAGTATTATGGACGAAGATCTACGGAGTAATCATGTTTTTAAATTATATATGGAGTAATACGGAGTAACAATTACGGAGTACTACGTAATAAATTTCCTTTTTACTATTTCAATTTAGATTTACAATTTTTTTTTATCAATAGTACGTATAGATTTATAAACAAGCTAAGTGATTTACTATTTCAAACATATGGTGACATGTTTGTAAACAAGCTAAGTGATTTTTTGGTGACATGTACATAGAGTGCAACGGTACACATGTGACACAAGAAATAGTCACATACATATTAATAAATAAATTATCTCTCTCCTTATTTAAATGACTTTATACAGGTTTGGTAAGTTTTTATCTGCAATGTCAACCAAAGTATCTACATCTACACGATCTTCTTGACATTGTGGAAAAAACTTACCAAGATTGAATAAAATCATTCAAATAAGGAGAGTGATAATTTATTGACTAATATTTATGTGGCTTTCTCTCATGCCACATGTGCACCGTGCACATTGTAGCATTGTAGATGCTCTAATGTAAATGAAAGCGTGAAAGATTTTACTCCGTATAAGTCCTTTTTTATTATAATCATCCTGTACAAAGGTTCTCATTTAGTTTACGATGTTTGATTGACCACAAAGTTAATTGATCCATGTTTGTAATAAGATTACTTTTAGTAACGAAAATTTACATATTAAAAAACCACATACGGACTTGGTCGGACGACGATTTCAATTAATCTAAATTTACTTTTATACTCTTATTTTATTACCTACTTCACAATTATGTTTCTCTCTCCCACTACACATAATCTACTTTTTATAAAGTCTAATGGAAAAGTCAACAATAAAGGTTACACTTTCTTAACAACCATCAAATTAAACCATGAAATGTATTTAGGATCGCAGAAAGTATCATGCATGTTACGTATATCACAATTTCCTTTCATTTCACACAACCAAATAACATTTAAAAAATTGTCGCATTGCTATTACCTTTTAATATTCCGCGCATCGCGCGGGTAAGAATCTAGTAGTTAACAAGCTCAATTCAAATCTATTTATTTTAGGCTCATGGCTCGCGAGCCGGTTTGCGAGCCTTTGTGTCATATTTTATATATTTTATATCTAATTATATGTAATATGTAGTAAGGGGAAGGTTCAAGTGAGAATGATGGCTTAGGAGAGAAATGAGAATTAATCCTGATTGTCTATGCTTGAGATCTAACGGTGAGGACATACAAGAAAGGTGCGGTGGTATGACCGTAAATATCATCAACTATGAAATTGTTTATTAACTTGAATGGGTGAACCGTTACTAATAAGGGTGTATTAGTAAAAGACTACTAAGATGTAACTACTACACACGGACAAATGGAATTCATGCGTCGTAAGTGTGTCTAACATTTATTGTGATTGATTGAATCAATAAATGAAATTCATTTTTACTAACAATAGAAATTAAATTTAATTCAATTAGTACTTCCACGTTACTCTGTATTACAAACTGAAACGAATAAACCTGTAAGTGCACTTTTACTTCAAACTCCATGCACCATGAGTTCAATTAAATATTTAAGGTTCTTCTTGAAATAATTAATACATCATAATTTCGATGAATATTTTTTATCCATGAAAAAAATCCGCTTGGGCACTACTTCGTATTAAATACTTATATGAGCATTTTTTATATAAAAAAAATATATTCAAATTAAATTCTCCAATAATTTTTACTATCAAATTTGTAGATACAATTATTATTTTTATTTTTCATTAATTGTAATTTAAATAATAAGCACCATTCATCAACAAAATGTATAAAGAGAAGAATAAATAATAATATTATTATATTAACCTTCACTTTAAAGGCATTATTATGCACTTCTATAATATGCACTTTACTCTATGCAGTTGTGCACTTACATGTAAGTTTAAATAAAAATCAAATTAAACATAAATATGTGTAAATTCACAACTATCTTTTGCATTTTAAATACAAAGAAAAGTGAAGACACAATTTGTAAAATCATATGTTATCACTTTCTTACAAAATAAAATGCACTTTAATAATGTGCATTTTAAATATCTACGAAGTGCACAAATTAACCATACTTTCTAAAATTTATATTAGCACTTTATTACAAAATGAAATGCACTTTTTCTTCCAAATGCATCACAGTTGCTCCATTTTCATATCTCTTTTATTGCACTCCACATATGTCACTCCACATATGCTGCTATAAGGCATCATTGTCGGTGGGAAAGCGTATAGCATTTATGTCGTTTGAATGATTCATCTTGATAACTTGATGTGTCATTGTCCTCGTGAGTCAATTGCACTGCAAATATAATTGCAAAAAAGTGCAGCATATATAGCTGGAGTGCAAATTTTTATGATCCGCGTATATAATTGAAATAACGTATAGAGCACAATAATAAAATGATAGTGCATTAATGATCCGCGTAAGTGCATTTGGGAGTGGGTTAATCTCAAAATTATGTGAGTGCAAATTTCAAAATTTTGTGCGTGCAAATCTCAAAAATTTGTATCTGATTCAAATTTAAGAATCTGATACTGCATTCAATAGTAGGTGTTAGCACATCTTGCAATTGACACTGTGCAATGTAAAAATTTTCCTTGTGCATACTAATAACATGACAGTGCAAGAAGTAATTAGTCTTTTGATGTCCCGTGTATCTACAAAAAAGTGTAAAATAAAAAAAAATGAGAAGTGCATGAAAGGAGTATGATAAGTGCATCAAAATTTAGTAGAAAACTCATCTTATATTATCTTAGAATGAAATAGATATCTATCATGAAATTGCTCCATATTGAAGGCTAAACTGCATCAAATGATAATATAGGTGCACTGTGCACTAATTCTTAGTGCAAAGCTACAAATCTAGAAATTGTGTCGGTGCATATCCATAAATGTAAAAATTATGCAATAATAATGTGTAAAAGTACAAGATCAAACATCTAATCTTGCATCCAATTTATTCAACAGCCCTCATTTAAGTACATGTGAAATCTCAGATATAGAATAAAATCAACAATGGTGCACCAAATCAAAAAATGAAAACTTGTTTGAAAATGATGAAAATATTGGGTAACTAAAGGATTGCATGAAAATGTGCAGGAACGTGCACTAGCGGGTGACTGAAATAGCAATGCAACAACACCCAACTAGAAAAATCTCTATCAACATAAGCACAGATACAATTGTAGAGAAATTATGAGACCAGAATAGAAGAATGCAAACAAATAGTCAAAAAGCAAAATTTTCATAAGTGACTTATATTCTAAACTAGTGCATTATATACTTGATAGAGTGCATGAAAACATAGGTAAAAGTGCACTTGCGAGTGACTGAAATAGCAACGAACAATACCCAAATAACAAAAGTCTCCACCAACCAAAGCATGAATACAAACATGTAGAAATTGTGTGATCTGATATAGAAGAATACAAGCATGTAGTCTGAACTCTGAACAGAAATTAATCCGTAATTGGATTCATATGCTTACCAAGAAAGATCAATTCAACAATAAAAAAATCAATACAGACTCTGAGACTCAAATAGAGAGTGTAATTAGCTATGTGGGAAAAATTGAATGGATAAATAAATTATATGAAATAAACTTACAGCCATCCATGTGGAGAACATGATATTTTTCAGAATTTTAGATTGATACATCTGAAAATACGTATAAAGTAATCTAGGACAGTGAGATAATCGAATTGCAGGCAGAGGAGAGATGGAAGACGAAGATGAGCGAGGAAGACAAGAGACAACGAATAGGTCGCCGATGAAGATGAAGATGAGAGTCCAAGAAGCGATCACCGATGAAGATGAGAGAAGGAGAAGAAATCATCGGTAAAGATGAGAGACAGAAAAGAGTTTGCCGATGAAGATGAGAGAGAAACGTTATTGCCGATGAACATGAGCGAGAAATATGTGATGACATACGGTTTTAAAAGAAAAGATGTCAAAATGACCTTTGTAGCCTCACACGAATTATTACATTTATTTAGAAGATGTTAAAATCCAAGGGTTCCCATTCATTCTTATTTCTCTCCCTAGATCCTTTTCTCATTTGATCCCTTCTCTATGTAGTAATTATATATGTACTTTTTGGGAATATGTATTCTAATTTAGGATTATCCCATATTTAATAGTTTTTCACGGAGTATATTACTCCGTATAATAGTAATAATTAGAAAAATAATTACATGTATGTAGTATTATTATTATAACCATAACTGGTAATAATTATAATATGTACCCGTAATATTTGTTGACGGTAAAATAAATAATAAAAATGTCAGCAAAGGAGCAGTAGACTAAAATGAGAATGAATAGGTACACATATTATATTTTTAGCTTGAGTTCGATCATCTTATTCGAGTTCAAGCCCATAAAAATTAATTTGCGAAACTTGACCCGAGCTCGAACCGAGATCGAATTGAGCTCGAGCCGAGCTCGGCTCGAGTTCGAGCCCGAATTATTTAACTCGTCCAAGCTCGAGATCGAGCTCGAGCTCGTGAATTCTTATCAAGCTCAAGCTCAAGCCTACCCATGCTCGGGCTCGGCTCGGCTCGGCTCGGCTCGTTTACACTCCTAGGAAAAAGTAAGAAGGCGAGGTAGGGTGGGGTATGCAGATGGAGCCATGGAGGGGATGGACGATGGACTAATGGAGTATGCTTCTTCGTATGAGAGGAGAAGGAAAAAAAGATAAAAAGAAAGGAAAAAGAAAAGAAAAATGATTTAAAGTATGCCACATGGAGGATTCGTCCATTGTACAACCGGCTGTACGGTGCTCACCGTACAGTCGGTGGCATTTTTGTAATATAATGTAAAAATCGTGGTTTCTGCTAAGTGATCATTCGTGTACTGTTAATGAGCAAGAATTCAATGTTAATGAGTATTAGGAGTCTAATAATGAACGTCGTGTTATTAAAAGAAAGTTGATATCACAACTAAAAAAACGGTGGCATTTTTGTAATT